AAATATAATAAACAATTAATTTTCAACAAATTTTAATTGGTTTAAAAAGATAACTGCTTTATTTTTTAATGTTTAAAGTTTTTAAAACAAATAATTAATATTTGTAATATATGTATTGCCTTGAATAAAAATAAACTACAACATGATTAACTATGCCTTGATTGATTTTGTTCAAACTTTTGGAAATTTAAAAATGCATAATATTTTTAATATATTACCACTGTGAAAATATGCACGAAGATATCCTGTTTGATTTATTTTGCTAGATAAATATTTAAGATTCTTAAAACTTGTTAATTATGTTCATTGGATTCTATCTTTGTTTAAATTAAATGTTTAAAAAAATTAGTATTACTAACTATAATACTGTAAAAATAAATATATAGTGATAGAAATAAATCAAAAATACAAGATAAAGATGGGTTAGACTATGTATTTTTCAGAATATAAAAAATTATAAACATGTAAAAATGATTAAAAAAAATCTATGAATATCAATATGTATTAATAGTTGGTGTATTTAAGACAATGTTTATTAAGTTTATAAAATTAAAGGGTTGAATGTTTGTTAATAAATTACACTATATTTTTTTACTTTGATATATTTAAATTTAGAAGTTATATATAGCAACATGTTTTAACTAACATAAAAGACTGTTATTATTTTATAATACTTATCTAATTTAAATGTTAGCTCTTCATATTAAATATTACTTATAAGTATGCCCTTAGACATGCCTATGGGCATGCTATATTAGGGCATGCTTTTTAGTATATGGGCATGCCTATACATGCCTATAGGCATGCCTATAGGGCATGCCCTAGTAGGCATGCCCATTTTAGCTGTGCCTTGAACCCTAATTGTAATTACGAATTGTGATTTGATTGGTTAATAATCACGTGTAGATCCACAAATTGATCTTCGAAACTAGCATGAAAATTGGCCCGAATTAATTTTCAAAAAAAACCGGGCTATGAGAACTGATTATATAACTGATAAGTTTAGGTGGCCTTATTTTATTGAACTTAAAAATTAAAAATTTTTTTATAATCATTATAAAATTTGACTTAATTTAATAGGCTAGTTATTGAGAAACTAAATTTAAATTTTAGCTTTTTACATTAAATTAAAATTTCTGTCACTCTTATAAAAATATTTAAGTTTTAAATTTGTATTATAAACCTTTGTTTAAAAATTTCAAAATAAAACTTTTCATTATAGCAGATTACAGGGGAATACTTTTGATGGCACTATAATTATGCTTATTTATTATTATATATTAATTCTGATAAATATAGAATATTTTACTGCTAACGCAAAAGTTTTTGGAACAGTATTTTAGGTAAGTTTTATAGCACAAACTAGCCAGGCCAGCCATAACAGCGTTCATCCGGGTTTAACGAATAACAGGCACAACCAAGAGTCATAACAACACAACCATCAACAATATAATAAATAGAAGGAGAAACAAAAAGCGATGAAACGTTAAAATATTCAGGTATTGGAATTTCCGTTATTATTTCAACTATTTTTCCAGTTGGAATTGGACACAAATTATTGGTCCCATTACAAATTTGCTGAGTATATCTAATCTTGTTAGGTGGAGATACTAATACAATATCTAATTTGTATTCTGTAGTCATATTGCCCGGTAATACATTAGCAAAATAAAACGTGATATTTTGTCCAGCAATAGGAATTTGAGGGTCAGTTGTCATTTGAAGTTTCGTTATAGGTTCCAACCAACCACACATTGTGTTAAAACCAAATCTATTACAAAAATCCTTCGGCATAAGTGGATCACCATTAAAAGGCGGCGCCGCATCAATAATATTGGGTATAGAAAGCGTATTTAATATAATTAATAGATAAGTAAAATATTGAATCATAATCATAATTTTTTTTTAATAATCCAAACAATATCGAGTAAAAAAAAACCCCCCTTTTTAAATATTTACTGAATCCGTATATACTAAGAATAACCCATTTCAGCGATACTTAATAGGGATTAGAATCGGTTGACTTTATAAAATTTTTCTACTGGTTCATACTGAATTATGCTGATCATTGTATCGGCGGATCTGCGCAATCTAATAAATATAGAAACCCATCGGTTACAATCCCTTTGTCGATTATTTGGCCACATTTTAAAATATTTAACTCCAGATATAGGGATCGGGTAGTAATTTATATGCCTCACGTGACTTTTACTTTACAAAATTTATTAATCAACTTAAAAATTACCCTGCTTTAGACGATTCCCAGATATGGAAAGCGGGCAGATTACATAATAATCAGCAAATCGGGTCGTCGAAATTTGATAAACCCGGATCAGCCCGACGAAGCAAAACAAGCGAAAAAAGAAAAACAACAAAAACGGTAGCCTAAATCCATCGTAGTGCATTAACAAAAAATGTCGGGAAGGCAATTTTGTTATATAAACACCTCTACCCCTAACCCAAAGTGGTCCTAGCCCTAATGTTAATGGGAAAACGGCATAAAACGCTTTAAGGACCCAGATATGGTCAAGTGATCGACAATTTTGACCAGAATTATAACTGATGGGTTTCTATTGTTAGAGTTTGGCTTAAAATTTATTCTCGATGAATACTTAATTTAACTTAAAATATCATAGTAATTTTGGGATCTACTAAATTTCCCCACCACGGATTATCATAAAATTGATTAATAAACCAATCAGAAGTGTTAGAAGGGTCGGTATAATTTCACCGACAATCACTTCACCAACAGCTCATTTAGCAGACTTCACCCAGGTGAAATTTAGTAAAAATATATGGGTGACGCCAAGAGAAAACCAGGAATTCTAAAAATAGATTTCTATCCAAAGCGAAGTTGCGGGGTTTTTTA